CATCTAGGAGGCCTAGAGTCTGGGAGGGGGGAAGTAGAAGGGCGCGGGCCTTCCCAGAAGGCGGCTGGGCTTCATCAGAGGCCCTCTGGTCTTCTGAGAAGCCCTCTCTGTGTCTTCGGGTAAGGGAGCTCCTCAGAAGAGTGGAGGCCCTCTGAGCCTCCTGCCCAGCAAGCGCTGACATGGATTGCGGATCTGTGGATCTGGCGCGTGGGCGCCGAATCCACGCATCGGGGCAGGGACCCCCCCTGAACACAAAGCCAATGCCGCCCGACTTGTCGACGAAGCGCGCCGACTACGAGTCCCGTCGCCAATCCACGTGCCTGAACCCATGCATGCGGCTCCCTGATTCCGGCAAGGCCTGCCACCTCTGCCTTTTGGCGGCGCGCAGGGAGGGGTAGCGGCAGGGGGAAGGCTTGTCAGACGGAGGCTGCTTCTGAGAAGGCGCCAGCCTTCCATCTACAGAGAAGGCCCGCGCCTTCTAAGAAGCAGGGCTGCTTGTGAGAAGCCTGTCCCCCTCCCCACGCACGCGCACCACCACCCACTGCGCACGCGCGCGCGGAGCCACAGGTCCGCTACGACACGCGTCCGCGGATAGAGAAAATCAGCGCCATGGCAAGGGATGGGAGGGGGGGGTAGGACGTCAGATATGACGCGAGCGCACATAGCTTGCCCTACCCCCCCCTCTGCGCGCGGCCGAGCTTTCCCCCCTCGGCGCGCCGACCATCGAGGGCCTCCTCCTCCTCCTCCTCCTCCTCCTCCTCCTCCTCCTCCTCCTCCTCCCTGGACCTCCAAGATCCGGGCTCCTGCGCTGGGTCCGAGAGGCTCCTCGTCGCCGCGGCGGGGCTGCCCTCGACCGCCTGGTCGGGGCGCACCGCTGCGGCCCTTCTCCACGGGAGCCTACGGCCCCCCGCGCTGCCCGATGTGGGCCTGGGTTGGACAAGATCTGAGCACACACTGGAGGTAGAGAAACCCCAGGGTTCGCCAGGGACTGGTTTCCCCCCGAAGCGACGACAACCCTTCCAAAGACCTCCCGAAGGCCTCCGAATAGCCTCCTGGAGCCCTTCCCAGAGGGTGTTCGAAGGATTTCGGGAGGGCTTCGGCTGTTTTGAAAGGAACCCAATCCCTAGCGAACCCTGGACTTAACACTTAGGACTGGAGTTGGGCCGGATTCGCCCCTCCACGAGGGAGACAGGGCGAACGAGGAGGAGCAGGAGAAAGGGCCAGGTTGGGTCCAAAGGCGTCCAAGAGCAGAAAGAACGGACTTCCACGTCGCCGTTCCAAGCCCCAATGAACAGACATCCAACTCATCCTGTGGACCGGTCCGGGGAGGGGCCTCTGACAGGAGTCCAGGCCACCCCGCGCAATGGCAAAAACTGCGGCGAGAGATTTCCTCCGAAGTGCAGCCGTCCCCGGGGGGGCGGAGACCTTCCCCTGGGGTCCACGTTGTGAAGAAGCCAGGGTATCGGAGGTCCAGGATCCGCAGTTCGAAGCGCCCCTCTGCTCAGTAATTGCGTGCTCCTGCGCTTCCCTGATCGAGGCAAGTCAAGTGGGAGAGCTGCTTGTTGCTGGGTGGGCTGGTGTGAGCAGGCGAAGCGTCACGAATTTCTCCATCTCCTCCTCCTCCTCCTTATCCTCCTCCTGTGAGCTGGGACCTGTTGGCTGTAGTGTCTGTCAGACCCAGCCCCCCTCCTCCTTCTCCTCCTCCTCCTCCTCCTCCTCTTCCGATCTGCAGTTTCGGTTCAGGGTGGCGGTCGCTGGCTGCGATGGGTTTTGGGGTGCTCTTCGAGCGAACCATTCAGCCACATCACTGCCCTATCCTGCGCCCAGACCAGCACTAGGTTTCCCCACCACTTGCCAAGACGCCGCGGGAGGCAGCCTGGCATCACCAAGGACGACTTGGGCGTGCCGTAGCACAAGACTTGCTACACCTCCGGGCTGGGCGAGTCACTCCGCGTTTGGCCAGGCGGCTCAGCCTTGCCGAATACCGGTTATCCAGCCACCACGGCTCGTTGCATGGGCCAACGCGACCTGACCAAACCCTTCAGTGATAAGGTCTTCCGGAAGGTCTGCCTTGACTGCAAGGTCGGGAAAAACAGGGCCTTTAGCAGTAAGGTCGAGGCCTCCACACCCTCCACGCGCACCATCCCGGACAAGAGGCACACGGAGCAGCTCAACGAAAAGGATGCTCTCATCGCGAAGCTGCAGAAGCAACTCAAGGACGGGAAGGGGCAAGGAGGAGCGGTGGGAGGGGACGCAGATGCTGGGGAGAGGAGTGCGACCAAGGAGGAGCTGGCAAAAGTCACAGAATGCACCGAACGCTTGGAACCTGAGGCCGAGGATGCAGTGGTTGCCGCGATCTTGGTCAAAAAGCGGGCGCGGGAGAAGGAGTTTCCATCGTTGCTGCTGGCCGAGAAACCCTCCGCCACTCAGATCAGGACACTCGAAGCCCAGATGACCAAGCTCCAGAACCAGGTGGACTTCGACAACCAGTGGATTGAGGACACCCTTCAGGAGATGGAGTCCAGGAGGATGTAGGCTAGCAAGACTGAGGAGAAGTACAAGAGGCCCTAGCAGCAGCGAGACTATGTTGCCAAACGCATCCAGACCTCTGCATCACCTCCGCCAGTCTCCTTCGACCCGAAGGACGCGTTTACAACCTTCGAGGCGTTGGTGGGTTGCTTCACGGCCATTGCGGGCGTGCCGAACTGCCTGCAGGAGATCAAGACCGCTGGCGCGGCCCTCGAAATGAAACTGCGGCCTGTTCTGGAGAAGGCCGTAGCAGCAGCGACAGCCGCAGTAGCAACGACGGCCCCTGCAGACGGTTCGGGGCGTGGTAAAGGCGCTCATCTTGAACCCTGGTCCTGCTGGTGCTGCAGCCCGCGGGGCCGCAGGTTCACTTGGCGCCCCACCTCCTTCCTCCCACGCAGCCTCAATGGCCCCAGACTGGGATCTGCTGGAATCCGATGACAAGAGAGCGTACCTGGAGCTCATCGACACGCCAGGGGAGGGGGAGAAAGCAGGCACCGCCGCGGAGGCCAAGACGGCAAAGCGTCAGAAGCTGGAGGAGGAGCGGAATAGGAAGGCAAAGCGGTTGTACGAGAGGACAGGACTCGTGGTTCGCAGCATTGGCAAGCCGAAGCCGAAGCAGCGTTCCTGACGCTGCTGGGATCCAGCCTTCCTCATCGAAGCGTACCTTGAAAAGGTCATCCCCTACGTGTTCATTGCCCGACCTCAAGTTCCTGGGCGAGAGCGTCAACGCTTGGACTTCAGCCTGTGTCGTACTTGGCCGGGTCAGCGGGCAAGCTGCAGAAAATGCTCTCCGTGAATATGATCTGTCGGACCGCCGTCCCAGCCCTGACGTCATCGGCATGCAAGAGACACGTCTCTACACAGAGGGCGGGGCACTACCGGCCCGGAGCTGGATGGCTGCCAGAGGGTATTATCATCGATCGGGCTGGCCGCGAAGACAAGGGAGGGGGCCTTGGAACACTCTGGGGATGTATGGCTTGCCGCTGGAATGTAGCTGCCCTCCCCCCCAGTCCCCGAGGTGGACCTGGCAAGATACGAGCACAGGATTGTCGTCCGTCGTGTGCGAGCTGGCCTTCCGAATGGGCTCCTGCTGGTGACGGTGTATGGGGTCTCAGGCGTGGGGCCCGCACAGCCTTCCTAGAGATGTTGGGGAAGGCCGGGGAGATCGTGCTCGTCTGCGATTCCCCATGGGCGGTACAGGGGGGGTTCAAATTGGACCCCCATGAGTTGGAGGACACAGGCTGGGTCAAGGAGGTGACTGGCGTGATCATTGCGCCAGACGTCCACGCCACCTGTGCCCCGCCCCCTGGCCGCAAGGGGGCGACAAAGGACCCTGGCCAGCCACCAGAGGCATCTAGTGCGTCAGATGCTGCCCTCGCTCCGAGGGGAGATCCGCACAACGAGGCCCAGGCAGGAAGGGTCATCGACTTCTTCGTGGTGTGCTGCGCCATTGGCGCCCTGCGTCGCGAAAACTGGCATGCTTGCAGACGCGCCGCTTTCAATGCACGCCCCTCTGACGTTGCACCTGGAGGGCGTCAAGGGCACCTACTGGGTGGAAAAGCCAATCATGTTTTGACGCTTCACGGTTGACCCGCCTGATGGCCCGCACTGGGAACATGTTTCACAGGCTTGGTCGTGGGACCTGCAGGGGCGCGTCGATGACGTTGTACATCACACCGTCCATTTGGCGGACAAGCTCAGGGAATGGTTCGACGAGTCCGAGGTCCTATTTGCGGACCTGCACTCGGTGGAGGACCGCGACCAGGCGTCTTACAGTGGTCGATCGAAGGGGCCACGCGTCGTCCGAGTGCCAATGGCGGCGACAGTATGGGATTTCAAGTGTCTGCCAGCGATTGGACGTCCTAGCGTGCACCAGCCTTGACATGCCAGGCGAGCACGTCCGACCCTTTGGGTGCAGAAGCTCTGAGACAGCTTTGGGGCCATGGAGGCTCCCGCTGCCGCGGACGCCGATGCTTGCAGCCAGTGCGACCTCCAGCTCCTGGAGCTCTCTGCTGGTGGAGGCCGCCTCGGCGACGTGCCCCTCCCGTCACGACATCCTGCGGACCCCCCCGTTCCAGCTCCAGAGGCTAGTCGAGGCCGCGGCATGGCGGGCATATCAGCTGACCGTATGGCCATCAGCCGTGATGGGGATGTGCCTGCAGTGGCGCATGGAAGCGGCGACGCTGGCACCCTGGCGCGCTTCCAGTGTGTCGGAAGAGCCTCGCACCGTTCCTTCGATGCACTGGCGCTGGGTGGAGTCTCCGACATCAACGTGCCCTGTGAGCAGGCGTCAGCAACACAGTCTGGTGCCAGGCGCGCTTGCTCATGCACGGACTCGTGCATGATAGATTGTGTAGGCGATGCGGAGGCACCCTGCGTATGCTATGGCACCGCTGCTACGATTGCCTGGCGCACCAAACGCTTCGACGGGACCGCGTCGGGGCTCACCATCGCCTCCTTGCCACCCGGGTGGGTGACTTGAGCTCGGAAGGAGCAGAGACTCGCCATCGCTCGGACGTCGATTCCCCGCACAAGTTTCCGGTTACATGCGTGTGCGAAAATGACCTCAAATGATGGGCCTATCTTCCACCACCACTACCATAGGTAGCGCAGGGGAGAGGGAAGGATGGGGAGGTCCTCCTCATCCTCTTGCTTCCCCTCCTCCTTCTCCTCCCACCCTTCTGCCTATGGTAGTGGTAATGGAAAATCGGCCTAGTATCAAATGCTCCTCAATGATCCTTGCCGGAAAAAGATGCACACGTCCGAGCGATGCCAGGGAGAAGTTCACTCGGGGCGTGCTGCCCTCGCCGGCCTGCTTCTCTTTCCCCGCGCGGGGCCCGACGAGGCGGTCAAGTGGGTACGGTCTTTTGCGTGGTAGATTGTTTCTTGATGGGAGCGCCTTCCACTTTAGAGGAAAGAACAAACACATAAACATAAACTTTCAACGGTCCGCGCTGATTTCTTGGATCTGGGCTGGACCCCCCTCCCTGGCGCGCGGAGCGTGGCCAGGGGTGGCGCCGGGGGCGCCGCCAAGGGGGTCTGGCACTGATCCAAAAAATCTGCGCGGACCGTCGAAAATGTATGCCGTTTTTTGTGCTTCGACACATGGAGATCCCTGAACTGGCCCGTGCTGGATGGGCGATCGCCCAAGTCGACCGTTTTGGACATGTGGAAGCGGCGGTCCACGGGCCCGTCCCATTCTGGGCGGGCCCGCGGCAGACCTCTTGTGACGGCGAAGATTTCGCAGTCTTCATGCTGTGTGACGTTGCTGCGCCAAGCGTGCTCGACTTGTACATCGACTGCGACAGCACTGTTTCGACACTCAAGGCTGGGCCCAAGACCGGCGCGAATGCCCATGACCAGAGACCGAACCTGTGGGGGCGCATCTGGAGGCACTCCGATGCAGCAGATGTGGAGGTGCACAAGACGCTCGGGCACACCACGTCCGCCGACGTAGAGTCTGGGCGCTCCACCAACTGGGAGCGGGCGGCAAACGACGCAGTGGACAGGTTGGCAAAAGATGGAGCTCATCTCCACAGTTGTGCGGGTGCGACTGATGAGGCTCTCTGGCGGGGCTTCGAGGAGCTGGTCCGCGAGAGCGCCCGGTGGTTCGAGGAGCTCCAGATTGGGGATGGACAGAACCCACTTCAGTAAAACGTGGTGAAAACGACCTCGGGCCCAAACCTGGCAGACGCAAGCCTGGAAAATGACGGCCGCGGCACCCTCTCGAGAACCGAAAACGGACAATTCACGAATCGACGTGTCAGGGTGGACGACGAAATCTTGCATGGACCTGATGCTGCTCGTAGCGCTGGCGCAGCAGCCCAGGAGAGGCGCCCCCGCCCGAGACCCGGGAGGAGGACGAAGGTGTGGACGGGCCCTCGCTCTCGGCCAGTGCCTGCCAAGGGACACGAGTCTTTGTGAGCTCGAACTGTCATGGGATCATTCGTGGAGCTGCCACTGCGGGGCAACATGCAAGATCGGGGGTCATCACGTGTTGCGCTCGCGATACCAGAGAAAAAAAACCGATGACCCTATCTTATTTTGCTTCCGCTGTAGCGGGTAGTTCTCCGGTGCGGCGCCCAGCGCCAAGATGGGTGGCAACTGCAGGGGCTCCTGGGCTGGGGAGAAATACTGGGACCCGTTGAGCCTCTTGTCTGACGTCCGTTTCGCGCGTCGCCGCACCAGTCGGCCGACGCTGCATGTGTGCGCCCCTCAAGGAATCCCGCGGGACGGAAAATTCCGTTTACGACCGTTGTGGGGATAGCCCCCGGCGGTCCCAGAGGCACGAGGGCAGGCAGCGAAGGAAACGAAGCAGCTGGTGCTTGACTGTGACCTCGATTGGGTTATCGAGTGAGGGGCCGGGCAGCACGACGGGATGCCATCTCCGACAGTGGATGGGCTTCGTGTGAAGACGAATCCTCAGACGGCTCAGTTTAGCCAGTCTGCTTCGTTTCGCCGTCCTTGGGACCACCAGCCGTTCCTCTCCCGATCCGCGCAGCAACTCAAGGCTAATGTCCAGGCTGAGGACGCTCCGTGCTGAGCTCTGGCCCTCTAGGGCTCCCTCGAGCCCCAACGACGCAATCACATGCGATGAGATCCCCCCGCAGGCAGGGCCCCACCTCCCCTCGCCTCATTCTGCTCACTCTCGCCCCTCATCTCGGCGGCGAGAGAGAGGGGGGGAAACGAGAACGAGAAGGCCTTCTCAGAAGGCGGCGGGACTTCTCCGAAACCCTCGCGCCTTCTGAGAAGTTATCTGTGTCTTCCGGGGAGGCTCAGACGACTTCGCAGAAGGCCCGGGGACTCCCGAGAATTCTGAGAAGACGCATCCCTCCTCACTTCCCACCCTCGCTCGCCGCCGATCATCCACATCCCTCTCCTCCTCCTGAGCAGAGTATTCAGATCTGGTGGTCTTGCGGGGCTCGAGGTTTCCACTGGCCAGGGAAATGCTTGGAGACCGTCTCCTCATCGTGCATCGACTCCGACAAGCTCGTTCTCGTCCTCTTCCTCCTCATCTTCCACCTCCTCATCGATTGTGCGTCAAGTGCAGCGCGACGCTGTTCAAGTTTGCCGGCCCTGGACTCCACCGAGGAGAATGAAGACGCAGTCGGGCTGGGTCAACCCCTCGGCGTACAAAAAGGTAGGTGTGCCACGACGCCAGGACGAAGACCTGGAGGAGGAATCGAGGAACCTGCCGTGAAGTAGCAACTCGACCATACCCAGCTGGTTGGTGGAAACTTCTGGATCGGAGTCTTCGACAACCCCGCAGGACAAAGCCTCAAGAACCTCTTCGGGGACGCCGTGCAAGCGAAGCGGGGCTACCTGATCAAGTTCGTCATGCCGAAGGACGATGGGTTCGTGAAGCCATGTAACGGCGTACCCAACATCTTCGTCCACAAGGCCGACAGTCCTGAACTTCCAGTACTAGAGGTGGGCACTGAGGCCAAGGTTGACATGATATGGGACGACAGTAAGGGCCTGCACAAGGGAGTGCGAGCGCGCCCATTGGGACCAGAACTAGAGCAACATGGTTCTTCAAGGTCGGCTCGAGTTTAGTGGGCGGGCGGGTATACGCAGCAGAGGCCGACCTCTAATAACCAGCCCGAGGCCACGGCACAACGCTATAGTTAGAGACCTGGACTAGTTCGAGCTTCGGAAGGTTCTGCGGGAGCCGAAACAACTTTCCGCCAAATGTCCAAAAAACGAGCTCCGATGCCAGTCGGTTTCGAACCCGCAGCCTGGTTGGCTGTGCGCCGTTTCGCGGGTGAGAGGTGGCCGCGCCATGCTCTCACCCTCTCTTTCTCGACGCTGGCCCTGTCTTGCTTGGCGCCTCAACCGTTTCACGCAGCGGGATGCTGCCACCTGCCTAATTACGCGGGCTGTGGTTCGGCCATCGTGAGGGCGGGATCCGCACTGTTCAGGCAGGGCCTGGCTGGTCTGCGCCGACCAGGTCGCCAAGGGGCGGCGCCGGTTCCAGAGCGTCGGTTCGGAGAACTATGCCGTTCCTGACGCGAGCAGCTGGCTGCTGCTCAAAGCTGACCTGCGCTCAAATATGAGCGCGTGATGCGAGGGGCTCAGGTCCATGAACTGCAGACCCTGCAGACCCTCCTCCTCCTCCTCCTCCTCCTCCTCGTCCTCCTCCTCCGCCTCCTCCTCCTCCTCCTCTCGCGGAACAAAACAGCTGCATAAACATGCAGTCGTCGGAGTCCGCGTGGATGTCTCCGACGAGCGCTTGAAACGCGCCAGGGGCGGCGCCAGAGGCACCGCGAGGGGGGCCCAGCGCCGATCCAGGAGATCCGCACGGCGCTCCGAGAGGTTACCATGGTTATGACATTCCTGCCCTCGTCATGCCCTCGTCATGCCCCTCCTCCCGTCATGCCCTCGTCATGCCCCTCCTCCCGCGCCCCGTGCCTCCTTTCGGCAACGAGGCCCGGGGGGAATGCGGAGGGGGCGGTCCTTCTCAGAAGGCTCGGACGGCCTCGGGCCTGCTGCGGAATGCTCTGAGCCTTGTCGGAAGACGCAGACGGCTTCTCAGGAGGTCGGAGGGCATCTCACAAGCCCCGCCGCCTCCTGATAAAGCCTGCCCCCTCCCACTGCCCTAAGTCGAAGCCAGGACGAGGACAAACTCAGGCGAAGACAAACCGAGAAGCTCTGAGATCTGGCGGCTCCGGAGGATGACCCGGGCGCCGCGGCTCAGGAACTGGGTTATCCTCGTCCTGGCCTCGTCCCCTCGCCGAGCCGACCTTGATGGTATACCTCGGTCCGAACGTAAGAGTGACCTTTGGTGCGCGGCTGGGGGGCTCGAGGGGACCAAACCCTAGCGCGCAGGCCGCTGCTATCGCATCGCGCTCAGCGATCGGGGAGGCCCCGATGAGCCCGCATCAAAGGTCACCCTGGTGAAGGGTCACTCTTACGTGTAGTCCACCTGCCCCTAGGGCGAATCTTCATCCTGAATCGTATTCGGACAGTCCCGGGAGTCCCGGGGCCCGTGGAGGGCCCCGAAGGCCCGAGAACGGGGGGTCCCTGCGGATTTCTTGTATCCGCGCTGGACACCCTCGCTGGCGCGCAGAGCGCGCCCACGGCGGCGCCGGAGGCGTCGCCAAGGGGGCCCAACGCCAATCCAAAAGATCCGCGCGGACCTCCGAGAAATGATGTTTGTGTTTTTTGTGTTGCTCTCCGATCCAGGGCCGAGTACGAGCAGGGAGGCCTCCAGAGCACCCCTTGCGAGGCCCAGAGGGCCACATGGGGCTCCAAAAATTTCACGGAAAGGGAGGGGGGGGGCACCTTGGGCCAGGGGCACTTCTGGCAACACCCGAGGGGGGCCCGCCGCGCCGCGGCCTGGGGCCGTGCTGGGTTCGCCGCGGCCGCTGGCGTGCCCGCGGCGGCGCCCCGGGGCGGCGGGCTGCGCCTGGCGGCCGTCGGGGCTGGTCCGGGCCCCCGCGGGCAGAGCTCGGCTGCAGTCGGGACACGGTGACAAGAGCGTGGATCAAGAACACATGAGGAGGAGGAGGAGGAGGGAGGAGGAGGAGGAGGAGGAGGAGGAGGAGGAGGAGGAGGAGGGAGGAGGAGGAGTCAAGGAGGAGGAGGAGGAGGAGTCGAGGAGGAGGTGGAGGAGGAGGAGGGAGGGAGGGAGGGAGGGAGGGAGCGAAAGGAGGGAGGGATGGAGGAGGGAGGAGGAGGATGAGGGAGGAGGAAGAGGAGGTGGAGGGAGGAGGAAGAGGAGGAGGATGAGGGAAGAGGGGGGAGGAAGAGGTGTGGGGAGGAGGAGGGGGGAGGAGGAGTAGGAGGGCGTCACCTGCCATTAGTTTGCCCCCCCACCAGGGCCCATCGGCCCTGGGGTGGCAGGCGGCGTCGGTACGACTCTTACGCCATCAGCGGGGGGGGGCGGGGCCCCTTCGCCGAGAGCCTAATGCTCCATGGAGATATCCAGAACGAAGGGCATTCCAGGGTGGAGAGCCCAACGGCGAGGAAAACGAGGGTGCCCCTCCAAAGCTATGATTGTTGGTAACCCTCGTTTCAACACGCAGGGGTGGCACCAGGCAAGAGCGACCACTGGTGGTGCGCGACGCTCGGGGGCCGCGAGGAGGACACACCCGAGCGCGCAAAACACCGTTGTCCCCTCGCACACCGCCGTCTGGAGGCCGCAGCGCGCCCGCATCAGAGGTCACGAGCGAAGGGCCACTCTCACGCGTAGGCGAGCAGAAGGGGGAGTCGAGACAGTCCGTGCGGTGCCCGGCCTCCGCTCGGCCCCGGTCTGCGCCCCCGCAGGGAAGGCAGAGCCGTTGCCACCCTGCGGCCAGGGCTCGGTGCCATCTTCCGGCGGGCTCTGCCCGGTGATCGGGGGAGGCTCAATGCTGCTGGGGCTGAACCAGCCACGACCCGCCGCGAGCTGGTTGGCAATCTCAGCGGTTCACCATTGGGTTTCCTCAGTGAGCTGTCCTGATCTGAACATACTGGGATTGGCGTTATCGCTGACTTCCCCTGTCAACGCTTGTTGCCAAAGCGTGCTACCCTAGAAAGCGAGGAATCAGTAAGAGTCGTCGCCTAGCGACCAAGGGGACTTCCACATCTGACCACATGTCCAACATCTGACACTGGACCGTCTCCTCAAATACGGCAGGATGCCTCAAGCCTCTCCCGCCTCCGCCTCCTCATCCTCCCAAGCGATCGAGCTAGCAACTAATGCGGAGCATCCTCTGGGCATATCAAAGACTAACTGGGCGAGTCCGTGGCATCTATCTGTATGTGTATACATACTGAATACAGACATCATCCACATATGCATATATATATATAGATATGCATAGTGTTGCGGGTGGAACGCATACAACCGTGCCAATCCCCCTCATAAACCTTTCTTCGACCACTTTGTAGGCGATGTCTGGGCTCCCAGCCCTTTCCTTCTGCTGCCAGCCGCCAATGCCCCATGTGCCTGTAAGCCCTATTGAAGAATTACCGTAAGGCGTTCCCATGAGCAAGAATCCCTCCTCCACCCTCTCTTCCTTCTTCTTCTTCTTCTTCCCTGTCGCACCCCGAGGCCAATCTACAGAGCGGGCCGGGCGTTTCGCCGGAGACTTCCTCACCAGTATGACTCTGAAGCTAAACATTGGCATCTGTTTTACATCTGGAGGAAGGGTGGTTTTCAAAATGTAGCTCTCGCACACTCGTCTTGAACATTTGCAAACGTTTCACGGACGGGCGAGTCGTTTTCAACATGTGGCTCTCGCCTTAGCGCCGCGCAAACTCGTCTTAAACAAATGCAAGAGTTTCACATATTGAGGGCGGTCCATTTTCAACATGTGGCTCTCGCCTTAGCGCCGCGCACACTCGTCTTAAAGTTCGCAAGGGTTTCACGGACTGAGGGCGGTTCCTTTTCAAAATGTGGCTCTCGCTTTAGCGCCGCGCGCATTCGTATTCAAAAATTGGAAGAAGAAGAAACAAAAAAAAAAAAAACACGGCGTCCCATGATCAACGTACCCAAAATGGCGTTTTGGAAAGTTTCCGGCTTATGCGGGTGCACAAGTAATGTTGATTCACGGTGTTCAAATCCCAAGAACGGCTATCTGTCACGACCCAGGATCGTCAAGACGCAACAGTCAGGTTGATCCGTGGCGTTGGAATCCCGAGAGCAAGGTTTTGGCATGCTTCAGGGTCTTTAAATAATTGTCTTCCAACGAGGCAGTTCCCTCAATAAAAATGAACCGTTGTACGGGCCTATGAAGAGGGAGCTTGGAGGGAGGGTGTATTCCAACATCGTTGATGCCTCTTGAGTTTACACTGGTCCTCCTCCTCCTCCTTCTCTTCCTCCTCCTCCTCCTCCTCCTCCTCCTCTTCCTCCTCTTCCTCCTCCTCCTCCTCCTCCTCCCCCTCCTCCTCCTCTTCCCCCACCCCTCCTCCCACTCTCGTCCTCCGCACCCCCGTGGTCCGAGCACGCCCCCGACGCATTGGCGGCAGCTGCGGCGCGCCGTGCCGAAAGGGCCGAGCGGCTCGAAGCCCCGCCACCTTGGAGGGAGCCGGGAGGGATAGGGGGGGAGGCGAACGAATGGAAGAGGCCGCACGTGTGGCCTGGGAAGCATGCAGGGGTCAAGCGTGCAAGAGGAAAGGGGGGAATCGGAAAGGGCAACGAGGCTGTCCAGGAGGAGGAGGAGGAGGCGGAGGAGGAGGAGGAGGAGGAGGAGGGGAGGAAGAAGAGGAGGAGGAACAGGAGGAAAAGGAGGAGGAAGGGGAGGATGAGGAGCATGAGCATGAGAATGAGAATGAGGATGAGGATGAGGAGGAGTAGTAGTAGCAGGTGGTGGAGGAGTGGGCGGCCCTTCCTCCCCCCTCCCAACCTCGGGAAAGGCTCGGTCTCGCGTCGGCCCCGACCGCACGGCGACCTGTGGGGAAGGCCCACTCCGCCTCGTTAGTAAGGAGGAGGGAGGGGAGGGAGGACGGATGAGCGGGAGGAGTGGAGCCGGGGGGGAGGAGAGGAGAAAATGCGAGCCGTCAGAGTTCCACTATCACGGGGCGGCCTCGCAGTCGCTCGCGCTCGTGCAGCACACGCATCGTCCTGCCTTCGCACACGGTCTAACGGATACGAAACGAGACACCGGCTGTCGTGCCTGTGGGCCTCGAGAAGGCTCCAGGATCGCCCAAGAAGGGCTAAAAGGGGACCAGATTGGTCGTAAGACGTCCTCGAGGCCCACAAAGGCACCATAAGAAAGCCCCAATCAGACCGCAAATTGTGGTTCAGCGAGGGCTTTCAACAACTGCCCAGGCTGATCCCGAACTTCAAAATCGACGGATGCCCCCATCGCGTTCCGATAGCAAACGAAAGCGATGGGAACAACCGGGAAGTGTCTGACGCGACGCGTCAATCATGATTCCCAGGGTTGGCCTGCGTGTGCCTGCATCGCAGGCTTGGAAAGCATATCAATAGACCAGCAGCAAGGGCTACGAGCTAAGATCGGCCATCACCTTTTTAGCTCAAGACCGTGACACCGTGGCAGCATGTGGTGCTTCGAAGAACCAAGTACTGTGCGAAGCCCGAAGGCCCGTGCGTCCTTGAACACGCGAGCCAGATTCGGTCGCAAGTATCTGCGCATCATGGTCATTGCCAGATTCGGTCGCAAGTATCTGCACATCAGGGCTGGATAAGTGGCCGCATTGCCCCACATCGCTTCATGCCACCATGTGATGGCTCGTGGGCCCACAACCACCCAGATTCTCGGACCACAAATCCCTGCAGTGTGCCGGGCAGGTAAGTTTGAGCCCTGATGTACCAGGCGCAGCAAACGCATGAGAACATGAAAAGCCACTCGTCGGATCAGATGGAGCGCGGGCTGTGGGAAACACAACGAGCAATAACCACTGCTGAGCTTAGACATGACTGTAGCATTCCAGACCCGCGAGCGATCATGCGAGCTGCACTGCACCGCTCCAGTTACCCAGAGATTGGAGCCCGAAAGGGGGCATCAACGTGCAGGAGGCACTGAAGGCTCGCACCTCAAATCCCGGCAGGGAGCGCATCACGCTTCGAGAGTCGACGAGAGCCCGACTGATGCACGAGTCCGACGAGCCAGGTTCGCACGGGAGGGGATGGGGGGGCGAGCAGCGATCCCAAGGCAGAAAGCTGGGCATCCCCATATCGGCTGGCTCAACCGCGGGCCGCATGGGTTGGGGGTCCCAAAACCGTGTGGTGACAGACCGACCGTGGGGTGATCTCAGAACCCCTAGAGACCTCACCGCACGGCCCGTCACCGCACGGTCCATCCCCGCACGGGTTTGGGGCCCTGGAGGCTCCAGTTGCCCAAAGCATCCTCAGAGAAAGACCTGAGTCCCAAAACCGTGCGGTGTGGTCAAGGCCACACCGCCGCCGCCGCCGCCGCCGTCATCGTCGCCGTCATCGTCGTCGTCGTCGCCTGTCGTCGCACACCACATGGTGGTGTGGTCACCATGCCGCCTGGGGGACCCCAAGCGTGGAGAGGGAAGGCCCACGCCGACTTTCTGGGGCTGCCCCCCCCTCCCAAGACGGAGCCAGGACGAGGATAACATCGAGTGAGAATACATCGGAAATCTCCTCCTCCTCGTCTTATTCTTCCTCCTCTTCCTCCTATTCCTCATAGGCTCGTCCTCCAGCCTTTCCTCCCCTCATACTCCTTTTCTTCCTCCTGCTCCTCCTGCTCCTGCTCCTGCTCCTCCTCCTCCTCCCCCTCCTCCTCCTCCTCCTCCTCCTCCTCCCTTGGCATGTGGACGCCCGGAATGGGTACGAAAATATGTGCACAATGCCCGACAAAGAATGCTGTCCCAAACCAACAGCGGCCGCTGTTGGCCAGGCGGCCTTCTGTCTCAAGTGCACACACGCTGCGGCGACACCGACAGCGAGTCCTGTTCAAAATGAACAGGAACTGCTGTTGGGCGTCGTACCCACTCTTTCCGTACCCATCTCGTTCGTGCCGATGGCAGGGCGGCGGACCCCCTCTCCCTCGTGCACGACGAAGCCAGGACGCGGGTAAGCTCGGATGAGTAAACATCGGGAATCTCCGAGATCCAGCGGCTCTGGAGGACGTCTCGGGCGCCGCGGCCTTCTCGAGAGCTTTCCCGAGCGCTCTGAGAGCGCCCTGGGACGCACTGGAACGGATTGGCCCCGCCAGACCTCCTCCACCCCTGGGAGTCGCGCACCCGGCGTGCGCCCCCAGGCGGCCACCCCGTGGGCCCGCGCGGGCCCGCGCGGAAGCCTGATCGGCCAGGACCTGGGGGGAGGAGGAGGAGGAGGAGGAGGAGGAGGAGGAGGAGGAGGAGGAGGAGGAGGAGGAGGAGGGAGGAGGAGGAGGAGGAGGCGGAGGAGGAGGAGGAGGGGGAGGAGGGGATTATATCCACAGCGCGGGAGCGAACTCAGCCATCCAACGCCCCGGGCGGCGGGCCACGGAGGACGGCCTCCTCGCGCCCGACAACGCACGGCTCCCGAGCCGGGGAAACCCTGCGACGGTCCCTGACAGCCAGGCTCTCAAGGCATTCCTTGGTGTGGGGCTTGCATTCGACGGACCTGAGGGAGGGCGGGGGGGGGGGCAGGGGGGGAATGGGCAGGCTGGGTGCGGTCGCGCCACATCTCCCTTTCTACCCCTCCCAGCCAGCCCTCCCCACTGCGCTGTTCTGCTTTCCGTCCGCCGACGCGTGTCATAGCGGACCTGGAACTGCAAAAAGGACCCCATCGAGTCATGCGCAATCGGGAAAGAAGGGGGGCTGAGAACATTGCAGGAGCAGGTGGCGGATGAGCAAGAGGATGAACAGGGGGACAAGGAGGATGAGGCAGGAGGAGGACAAGGACGAAACGCAGCAGCAGAAGCAGGCGTGGAAGGAGTGGGAGAGGCAGGAGGACAAGGGAAAGGTGGAAGAAAGAGACAGGACGGGAAGAAAGGGGAGAGGAAGAAGGGAGGACGAGGAGGACGGAACAGCGGCAGTAGCATGGCGTTGGAGGGCTCAGACAAGGAGCAGGCGAAGGAGCAGCAGCGGCAGAAATACAAATCATAACAGAAACAAAACTAGTAAGAATACTAATGCGAATGTGAATGCGAATGCGAATGCTAATACTAATACGAATACGACTGCTCATAACAGATACTACAAATTCGCCGACCCCACGGGCCGAAGGCGTGCTAAGATGTCCAATAACAGGTTAGAAATATTTCTAAATCGCGCGCGCGTGGCGGTCCCTGGAGACGCCTGGACGAAAAGTACCCCGGGCGATGCCCAACCGATGCCCGGTGGATGCCTGGCCGACGCCCCAAGAGCGCTCCAACAGCGCGCCAAGAAGGCGCCGGACGCCCCCAACACGGCCCAACAGGCCCCGAGTCGCTGGAAGATCGTTCCAAGACGCTCAAGATGGTCTCCAGATGGCTCCAGAGGCAGCGAAAAAGCTCCAGGAGAGCCTTCAGAGGCTCTCCAAGAGGGCCCCAACACGCACAAATCTCCCCATTCCCCTTCGGAAAACGTATGTTTTTTGCATGCACGGCGTTTCTCATCTTTTCGGCTTCCTGACGCTCCAAGACGGCCCAAGAGGCTCCCAAGACCGCCTCAAGAAGACTCCAAGAGGGCCCCAAGACAACCCAAAATTGCCCCAAGACAGCCCAAGAGGCACAAAACAGCCCAAGATGGCCCCAACACGGCCCCAAGAGAGGCCCAAGACGGGGACCAGGAACTGAAAAGTCCAGCCTTCAGCCCCAAGAAACCCCCAGGAGGCCCCAAAGAGGCCCCAAAGAGGCCCGAAGGGGCCCCGAAGAGGCATCCCAAGAAGCCCTAACACGAGGCCCCAACACGGCCCCCAAGAGGCCTCAAAACTGCCTCCCAGGGCCCCCAAGAGGCACCGACACGGCCCCCAAGCGGCGAGGCAATATTGGCCGGCGGAATGAGCGAAGCGATTAGATCAGGTATAATATTAAGAATAAGAACCGCAACAATAATACAAAGGTGATAACAGCAATACGACTGCCAATGCGAATATGAATACGAATGGTGATAATACTGATGATAATCATAATAATACTGAAGAGACTGCTCAGAATAATCATAAGAAATTGAAGGGTACTAGTAATATAATAAATACGAATACGAATAATGATACTACAAATAAGAATGCTAACACTACGGATGATGATAATAACAACAACCTTAATCTATTCATAAGAAAAACAAAGGAACATGGAGGAGTGGCAAGCAGTGGGGAGAAAAAAGGGGGAGGAAGAGGAGGGAGGAGGGAGGAAGGAGAATGAGGAAGACGAGGGCAACGGAACGAGCCAGGAGAAAGCAACGACGAAAAGAGAGTAGCGAGGAAGGGCGAGCATGCAGGATGAGAGGAAAGTGGGTGGACGGGGGCAAGGACGGCAACGGTAGGAAGGGCAGACGGATCAATGGTTCGGTCGGCGACAAGGGAGGGGAACTGTTCAAAACAGGAAGCGCGAGCAGACTGCGGCTGTCACACAGAAGGCCGCTGAGC